CAGTCTTCCATGTGGCACCACTAACGGTTATCTAATTTTGTTCCTATTAAGAAATGCTAAATGTAAAGTCTTAATTAACGATAGGTGATCTCCCTGATTCAGAACTGGAATCAGCAGTTTCAAACTTTCTCAGCGAGACTGCAACAAACTTTTTCTGGTTTTTTTTAAAGCCCAAGTCTTGTGATACTAATTCTTTGGAGCCAAGAGCCGACCAAACACAATAGCATTTTTTACACAATTTGCCAAGTAAAAATCCCAAATTAAAGCCAGTGTTATCTAGCTGTTTGAAAGCAAGCTGCATCACTACCAACTCAGAGCTTTAGCAGATGATTTCACTGTCATCCAGAGAACCGTGCAACAAGTTTCGCTTAACCAACAGGGCTACACAGTGCCCCACTTTTCAATGGTGCATGGAAAACAGCTTCTGAAACAGAAATTGCCAAAACAATTTGTGACACAGCATGGAGTCGACAGAGACTTTCAAAGGAAAAAGTTAAAAAACACCACTGGGCAAACACAAGCTTTGGGGTATCCCTAAAGCTTTCGCTAAAGTAGTTATTTGGATTCTGACTTCACTTCATGTGGAAATCTGTGCCCTGTACTTAACAGCTGCTTTGAACACAGATTTAAGTCCTACAAAACAAGCCTTTCCAACTCCTGCCTAAGAGATTCCTAGATACATGCCTCACCTGCTAATGATATTACAATAAAAATTCCCTGATATTTGTGTAAAATAAGGTATTCAATAATTATACTTCAATCGCTATTCCAAATCTCAGGCGTTAATTGCCCTGGGTTTTGACTCATTCCATTTTATTTTGCACTTTTCTGTTGTTAACAAAATTCATGAGGTAATACTAATCCTTTCATGCTACAGAAATGCTAATGAGTTCTGCTTTTGATGTACTGGTTAATAGTGGGCTGGGAGAGCAAGTGATAAATCTGTTGTTCTCCTATTTTATTAAGTGCTAAATCACCATTGTTTAGCAATGATCAGCACACAATAGAGCATGATAGCTGGTCAAAGGCGGAAAATGTGCACGTATTTACCGGAGAGATTTGGAAAAGGACATGGAGAGGAGTACATCTGCTAATTCTAGAAGCCCCCAAGCTGGGGAAATGGAATGTTTGGTTTTAAAGGAAAACATATTATTATTATTATTATTATTATTATTATTATTATTATTAATACCCCGCCCTCCCCAGCCAAGGCCGGGCTCAGGGCGGCTAACAAGCAATAATAAAAACAAGTTGAATGAATACAACTTAAAAACAAAGTTAAAATACAACATTAAAATATTGAAACATTAAAATATTAAAATGTAGCTTCATCGCAGGAGGAGAAAGGAAAAGAAAAAAGAAAGAGGGGGAGGAAATCAAACTGTCTCCAAGCCAAAGGCCAGGCGGAACAACTCTGTCTTATAGACCCTGCGGAAAGAAATCAGATCCTGCAGGGCACTGGTCTCATGAGACAGAGTGTTCTACCAGGCCGGAGCCAGTTGAAAAGGCCCTGGCTCTGGTTGAAGCTAATCTAACTTCCTTAGGGCCCGGGACCACTAGGGTGTTGCTATTTATGGACCTTGAGGCTCTCCGTGGGGCATACCGGGAGAGGCGGTCCCGTAAGTACAAGGGTTCTGCACCCGCTGGAGTTTCTGGGACAGCTTCAAGGGCAGCCCCGCGTAGAGCGAATTACAGTAGTCAAGCCTGGAGGTGACCGTTGCATGGATCACTATTTATATAGTAGGCATAAACCTGGTGGAATGGAGAGAGCCAGTGGGATATCATTATCTCTGGACATAGGAAGAGTTAACTGGGACAGTGTCACTCTGTACATCAAGGACAGCATATGGCCAAACTAGAACTCTCAAAAGGGGAAGAATCCCTGGGTTTCACATTGAGAACATACTATTGTCCTCCTGGACCAAAATGGCCAGGATGCTCTTGAGATAAAGGGTGGCATCTGGGAGGCAACCAAAGGAAGAAGCGTTATAGTAATGAGTGACTTCAATTACACTAACATAGACTGGATATAATGAAAGTTCTGGCCACAACAGAGACATCATACTATAAATTGCTGTGCCCTGTAACAGATGGTCATGGAAATGACCAGATGAGAAGTGACTCAAGACTTAACTCTAAGTAGCAACCAAGATCTGCTGAAAGGTACAAGTGTTGTTTAATTGATCAGGAACTGTGACCACAGTGCTATCAAATTCAATTTATATCTAAGTAGAGTATTGCCAAGAAAGTCCATTACAGTCACATTTGAGTTCAAAAGTGGAATCTTTCCTAGTGAAAGGGAAAGAGGTCAAATCCAGAATGCTTGTGGGGTGGCATTCAAAACCACAATAATAGATGATAAGCTACAATGCATACTAGAGATGAAGAAAGGTAGCACCAGGTCCAGGAGGATGGGGTTAATGAGCAAAATCAAGGGAGCTATAGGAGGCAAGAAGGCTTTCTTTAGAAAAAGGAGATCTTGCCCCCAAAGAAAACTCCTGCCTCGCTAATCTTTTAGAACTCCATTGGGGAGATTCCAACAGATAAGCACCCTTGGACTTCCAATAATCTTTCTGACCAAAGTCCTCATCAAAGGTTGCTGAGTAAGCTTAGCACTCATGGGATAAGAAGACAAGTTCTTTTTGGATCAGGAAATGCTTACAGAACAGGAAGCAGAGAACAGGAAAAATTGAAGATAGGGGGTTACCTCAAATATTGTATTGAGACCACTGTTGTTGTTGTTGTTCAGCTGGAATGAAAACAGTTCCTCTTTGTTGCATCCTGATGGAATAGCTACTGCCACGTGACAATGAAGCTGGTATCTCAGTGTCCAACTGTATGTTACACATAATGTTCTAATTGGTACCAAAATGAACTCTTCTCCAAATGCACTCACCCCAATAACTTTCATACCTGGGCAATAGGGTTGGAGGAGACCATAGTTGGAGAGGGAAGGGATAAACCTCCCCTTTCCTCCTGCTAAGATCTTGATATCAAGCAAGCCTTGTTTGGGTGTAATTAATTTAAGAAAAGCAAAAGACCGAGCTGCACACAACACGTTAAATGTTGCCTGTAGTTTAACTCTTAGTGGCCCAATTTGTCATCTCTCCCTCTGCGGCAATCCCAATAAATTTGCTCAATAAAACTCAAATACATGCACTCCAAGTGTAAAATTTGCCATTCTGATTTATTCAGGAGAAATATTCATCTCTCCCACCACCAAGCAGTAATTCCAAAAGTGTGCCATATATTAGGCAGTGTTCTAGTTTGACCTAAATCTGCTCATCTCCTTTAAGACTCATCATAATATTTATTAGGCTAACGTAAGCGTTGCGCCAACTTTCCTGTTTCTGTTTTCATGGTATGTCATCATAATAACTCTAACATCATAGGGTTAACATGACTGTTTCCTTTCAGGGTCATTCCAATCATTGCTTCTGACAATGCAATTGCTTTACATCAAAAGGAGCAGTGGTAACAGTTCACAGGACATCAGTAAGCCTATAAAGGGTATGGGTGTGTGGGTGTGTGTTATGAGCGCCATGTTCTTAATGCAATCTTTAAATTAGCTACAATCTTACAATTATTTTTCTTGCAGGGTGCATTCCATGGATTCAACAGAACCTTTTAGGATCAATCCACTTGTTTCACTGGCGGAATGATAACCACTGAAAGTCTACTTCCATGTGGCTCACTTCCTGTGTTGGTTCATTAATACATGGAGTTCTGATCATATGGAGTCAGACTGTTCCTTCTGCCACAGGTGCCAGCAACTGAATGGTGCTGGCATGGGGAGAAGACAACGGGCTCAAGGCCTTTTGAAGATGTCGTCATTCCGTCTTCTTATAAGTCTGGGTTTAAATAAATAAAATGTATCAAGCATCTTTATCACATTATTCTGCTGCAAGTATGGCGTGCTTCCTACCACTCAATCCACTTAGACAGTGAGGCTTTCCTAGGAGGTTCCATGGCTGCAGCCTCTGGCCAGTCCTCATCATCCAGCTAGTCCCCCACATCAGCTCACTTTAGCAGAGCCAACACCAAGGGTGGGGGTCGTTGGGCACTGCGTTCTTGCAAACCACCAGGCGCTCCTAGAGCCGCTGCTTCTCTCTGCTCTTGTTGCCTTTTCACCTCCTCTCTCCAAGCACACAACCAACTTTCCCAAAATTAGTGACCTCCTTAAGTTTTGGACTACAACTTCCATCGTCCCTGACCAATGCCTACCTTGCGTTTTTCCTCTGGGTGGTTGTGGGCGTTGGGCTTAGAGGGAGGTGGCAGATGAGTAGGCTGTGGCTACAGTGAACACACTTTGCCCAACCCCCAGAGCACTGCATCACACTGCACTATGGTCAATACAGTAAGCCCACAATTTATGTTCCAGAAATCATGCCTTAAACCAACAATAGTGCACAGTCAAAACACAATGGGTTCAATGGTGGATGAAATTGCCAAAATCTTTTTTCCCAGGTGCCTGCCCCCTTTACACCCCCTACTTCTTATTATTTTTGTTTATTATTTTTGTTTGTTATTATTTATTAAATGAACATAAATTGTGGGCTTGTTGTAACTGAAGAATGGTTATGTGTGAACAAGAGAAAACCCCACACACATTTTTTTACTTTCACTTTCACTTTCAACAGACAAAACTCCAGCACTTTTTTCCCTACACACGTTCAATGGTTCTTTGGATGCTACAGGATCAGGCTACACAACTGCAGACCTTAGCAGACTTACTTGGAACTTACTGAGACTTGGAAGTATTTAGTTGAACCTACAGGAGTCCTTGCTATGGTAGTTCCAATTCTGAATCTTTTGTAAAATGTACAGTTTTCACATGGGCCTGCTCTGATTTATTTATGTGTACTTTATATATGCATTTTGTTTTCTTAGTAGGCACATCTGGTGGAAGCGAGACCACATTTTCTCTTGACAGAAATTAGTATGCTTATTTCCCACCCACCCACCTACCCCCACCCACCTTACTTTTACATTTTTCTCTTGAATGTTCATAGTCTGAAAGAGACACCACAATATGCCTTATATGGATTTCACAATTCTGGATTCTATTCAAAGGAACAGCACCAATGTGTAAAGCTTTTTAATATCCAAAACCAAAAATCAAACCAGGTTTATTAAATATTGAAGCCTAAAGGATTCCTACTCTTGACTGGGTTTTATTGTTATTCCAGCTTTGATTCATGGTACTTTGGATTTCAAAAGTACCACTAAAAGTAGGGAGGAAACATTAGAAATTTTACAATTTATTGTATTGAATCAGTCAGCTAAACAGCATTTCCAAGTTATCCAAAATACCATGTCTGGGAGTTCATTAGATTGTTCTTCACACTGAATTACTGAGAAGGATGATGTATTTATAATACAAGCTTGCAATGCCATAAAATGGCTCATCAATCTGCTTTATTCATGGAAAGTCCACATAAGGCCACTAGCCTGTTACTGACAATAAACCTTGGGTGTGATTTCAAAAGACCTACACATTAGATAGTGATTCATAACCATGTCTAAGAAATCAAACTAGAGACTAACAAGACAAAAACCAAATGACATTTTCAAAGACGAACATCACACTGCAAGTGTAACATTCGTGTGTATCCTGCACAATGGAAAGGCAAATGGGTTTGCCAAAATATTACTGAGTAAACTGCTGGGCAGCAAACCAAGAGAGGATACCTATATTGAAAGCAGACTATATGTATATCGACTGGATTCTACAAGGATTATAGCCTTTAAACAAAATATGATAAGAATGGAATGCCACATGATTGCAAATGTATTAGTGTTGCTGATCACATGACATTTTGTGCTAAAATATGTTTTATTTCTTCCAAACAATAGTAATCTTTTGTATCGAGGTCAGTCTGCAACATAACAACTACTGTAGAATAATTATATGAAGTCTGAAACAGAGGGATGGCTTCCCCAAGTTGCCCCTCTGTTCATATCAAGATTTAAACCATAGCTGTCAACTTTTCCCTTTTCTTGCGAGGAATCCTATTTGGAATAAGGGAATTTCCCTTTATAAAAGGGTAAAGTTGACAGCTATGATTTAGACACACACATACACCCCTTTCAGGCACAGTGGTGGGCTTCTTTCAGCAAATCTGATGAACTGGCAATGTTGTTCGTAAACTGGCCAAGGCAAGTAACAATATTCAGAAGTGGCATTCAGTCTACATCTGGTAATTAATTTCCAGGCCACCAGGCCCCTGATTTTCCTATTGCTCTGTTCGTTGCTCCCTGATGTCTCATCATCCTTACACCAACCCTTTGGTGATGGTTAGTATTCAGATTCCTGACTCCGCCTTGGAATTCTCTACACAAATACACAAAGCGCTGTACTCCTTGCTTTGATCTTGTTTTGATCTATGGTTGTGAGTGCAAAAAGAGACTTCCTATGACCTCAGGCAGCCTTGTCAAAATCCCTCCCCCTCCCAAAAAAGAGATCAAAACGTAATTAAAAACGAAACATAAATCGAAACATAATTAAACACAACCATCTGATGAAGCTTTTGATTGGTGATACAACTTGAGAACAAATGTTTGAAAGCAATAGCAGCCTGATTGATTGATTGATTGATTGATTGAATGAATGAATGTAATGTAATTTCTATTCCACATAGTGTTACCTAGAAAATTCCTTCATTCATAATCAAAGTAAAAGCCTGTTGAAGAGGCCAGCCTCTACAACTGACCTACATATGAACTGCAATTGGCTTGACTGGAGCCTCCATAGCTTTTGATAACAAAAATGGGATTTTCCAGTAAAGGAATGACAACACTGATGAGGCCCTGCTCCAGATTCCATCTTATGGTGATGCCATCAGGAGTCTCCATCAGGAACAGGACCTGAGATTAACAGAAGACCCTTCCTAGGGAAATGGTCTAACAACCTCGTCTCCAATTTCTATAGTCTCCTTCAGTGGGCTTCGTTTCAGTTGTGTTAACCACTGCTCTCTGCCTGCTGTATTCTGATCACTGTACTGTTGCTCTCAAGTTTGTATTGCTGCAAATATTTATTGCTGTTTTAATTGTTGTGCACCACTATGGCACTTCAGTTAACTGTGACATAGAAATTCTTTTAATCAATTAATTAGATTGAGATTCAGAAGAAGGATATCCCTGTTGTTGTGCCCAGGCTCTGGAATTCTCTACCCACCTTGCTCAGCCTTGATGGTTTTCCTTTGTGTTTTGACAGACAGCTGTTTAAGCTGTTGATTGTTTTATGCTGACTGAAACTATTTATGAGTTTTGAACTACTGTCCCCCTATCTCTTTCATATTGTAGGTCTTTAATGTGTTTTGTGAAGGATTGTTCTTGATGCTGTGAGCTGCCTTGAGTGTTGTTGTTTTTTAAAGAAAAGACAAAATTAGAAAGGTGGAGAATATATATATATATTTAAATGAATAAGATTTATCAATGTACTTAAAAACACAATTTTAATCTTATTATAAAAATCAGTTTTTAAAATACTCTCATATTTCAGCATTTCCCCTCTGAAAACCAAGATGCTGTTCTGATACACTGTTTAAAAAACACTATAGTTTACCATTGTCCACAGTAAGAGACAAACAGCAGGCATGATGTTATTTATTGAGCCGATAAAGGCATTTGCATTGCTCATTAGCAATTGTTAACATATGCAACATCTTTCCCTGGTCTAAAACCCTGTTTACATTCTCTGTGTCACAACTTACTCAAAATACCAAGACATCAGGTCTCTCTCATTTATAAAACAAACACAAAAGCAACTTGCTGAATAGTAATACATATGGAAAACAAGTGACATTTTAAATTGTTATTTAAAAATGGGATAGCGTCGGGAAATGAGGTTGACATTCCAAAAAAAAAAAAAGCCATAGCAAAACAGATAACTAATTGATCAATTACTAAAGCCTGGTGCTGGTGTATCAAAATGGCAGTGTGCCACATCAAAGAACAGATGAAGAACAAGATTAGTAACAAAAACTTAACAGTGGAAACTCTGCCAAAACTGCTACAGAATTTAGGCAAGTTGGGTATGTTTTTAAATGATCACATCCCTTTTCACAAGAAATTATTTCCTTACATTTTAGCCAGATGATGGTGGACCATTAAGCCTTGCTTATTTAACCTTTCCCCTGCAATCTGCAACTTAAAAAATAAAACGAGTAGGGGAACTGAACTCAGAAAATGCACCATGATGAACCCATACGCACCACTGTGTGCTATAAAAAGGCAACCGAAAGTTCAGACTTTTAACACGAATATTCCCAGAAACGTGGTCACATTTTTTATGCTCACATTTTATTAGAACACCACAAATAATTGCAATCCTATTGGAATATTCCTGACTCTGATTAGCTCAAACGGGCCTGTTTCCCATTTCCCCTTGCCAGTCACTTAAAAGAATAAGGCATGGAGGGAACAGAATGGAAATGCTGCTTTCTCCTTCTGCTAAAATGAAGCGAGCCTTTCCTCAATATCTACCGGGCCCGGGGTGGGGGGTGATCATTAAAGTAATATTGAATTCTTGGAATTTTTATTATTTTTTATTGAATTTCATTCCCTAATTTTTTCATGCCCTGGGTGGGGAGGGGTGTTGAATTCTCAATGTCACAGAACATCCAGCGCGGAGCTACTACGGCCGATTCCCCCCTTGGGGGAAGAAGGGGATTGCTCCAGGAGGTTTGGGTCTACTCTCTGTTTGCGTGAAGCGGACATTGGCATATCTTCCCCAGACTTTTCCTGTGGGGTTCATCTGGTAGGCAGGGTGGGGAATAGTTGTCGGAGCTGTACCAAGGTCAGCCAGCAAGAGCTGACAGTTTCTGTCTCTGTACAAAGAAAAGAATCAATACTTTTGGACTACGGCTGTGCCCTCAGTGTAAAACAACAAACATGCAGCGTCTGACATGTTTCTAGGTGATTTGTGGCAGAACCTCTCGTCTGATCTGTATCCAGGAGGTGCTGCGCTCCTGCCTTTTGCCTTTCTCCGCTCATCTCCCCAGCCCCCACCAAACCGGCTCTGTGATGTCTAATACTTTACTCAGGTACAGAGGCATGTAGTCTACCCTACAGCTAGTTGTCACTCAATAAATCACACCTACAAGCATGGAGTCTGCACACAGTGATCTGGGCTTTAACAAAGGATCAGAGGGACAAAGTGCAGGCAAGATACTGTAATTATAACAAAAATAAAACATTCAGTGAGCTGCAGCAAAGACGAAAGCTCTAAGGCACGGGCAGATTGTCATCGGAACGGGAGTCCTGGATCTGTGTTTGCCTCTCCATTATTTATGAACTTTCGTACCTTAAAGGTTATTCGTCAAGTTCTATATAACAATATATAGCATACGAAATACAATTGTTATTTTTTTAAAAAAAGAAACAAACAAAAGTGGTTTCTAATTAAACAGAATGGGAGAGTTTAAGACCTGTTTCAAATGCCATTTTTTCTTGAATATATTCCATGCTTGTTATTACAGCGACAACTATAGAAATGGTATAAACAAAATAACAAAACAAAAAAAAAACTAATACAGATGCAGAAATGGAAAGAACTGTTGAAGCCTGTTTCACAATCTGGCCTATCATTTTAAGCAGTGCTTATTCTTTTTTGAAAAGGGGGGGAGGTGCCTGTACTCACCATGAAGTTGTTACTCTAAGTGCCACACTTTTAACATTTGGGGGTGCTGGTACCGCATTCCCTTGAGTACCCCCAGGGGGGGAAAGCACAGATTTTAAGCACTGATTATACAGATAGTTCACAGCTTTCCTGGAACTCACCTAGAAAAGCATAATTCTTATTATAATTGCCTCAGCCAGTGTCCAAAAAGAAAGCGAAATTCTAGATTTTCCCTCAAACACCTCTGTGTGTGTCAGCATTTCAGGATTAACCATAATCTATCTAGCTATCTATCTATCTCCCAGAACATAAAATCGGGCATTAATTACTGCCTGACTTTAATGGTCTGGCAATTATTGAAATCAGCCTAGATTTAGCACCTATGATTTTGCATAGATCCCTTGAAAACATTTTAAAAGTACCAGTATATTATGGAATTCTATTTTATTTCAGAAGAAAACAGACCCTGCCACGCTTCTTTATTTTGGACCCAACCCTACAGGTTGGTATCACTCATTCTGAATAATATTAATATTTACATTTAATCCAGTTTTAGCCATTGGGATTGAGTGTCAGAACAGCTTTACATTTCCTTGTAAGTCTATCAGTGACGGATAGAATTTGTCCACCCACCATGTACTTCAATGACGTTGAATCAATAAATGTGGTTTAAGAGAATGGAGTTGTCCATTAATGATTTTTAAAAGTACAGCATGTAACCTTTTTAATACAAATCACATCACCAAAGTAATTGGATATAGAACCAATATGTTCATCCTGGACATAAAGGAAACAAGTTGGGGAATAATTTATAAAAGGTAACTTCAGAAGCTCAGTAAATCTAGGTTAAAGAAGAAAACCATAGTAATTTCTTTCTCTTCCCCTCTCTCTATGCAGAAATACTGATATACACTTTCCAGGGACTAAGCGCCATTGAACACAATGGGACTTACTCCTGAGTATACATGCATCAAATTTGTCTGCCTGTAGCACTTAAAAGGTAAAGGGACCCCTGACCATTAGGTCCAGTTGTGGCCGACTCTGGCGTTGCGGCGCTCATCTCGCTTTATTGGCCGAGGGAGCCGGCGTACAGCTTCCAGGTCATGTGGCCAGCATGTCTAAGCCGCTTCTGGCGAACCAGAGCAGCGCACGGAAACGCCGTTTACCTTCCCACCGGAGCGGTATCTGTTTATCTACTTGCACTTTGACGTGCTTTCGAACTGCTAGGTTGGCAGGAGCAGGGACTGAGCAACGGGAGCTCACCCCGTCGCGGGGATTTGAACCACCGACCTTCTGATCGGCAAGTTCTAGGCTCTGTGGTTTAACCCACAGCGCCACCCGCGTCCCACCCTGTAGCACTTATTCCTACTTTAATCGTGGTACAAATCACAATACTCTTCTCTTCAACTTTTAAAACACTATGCTAAAATCCACGATGTTAAAAAGTTCAAGGCTACAGGATGCAAGATACATGTTTTATAAGTACATATTCATTTATTTATTGTTGCCTGTGGCTCAGTGCTAATCCCTAATGCTCCCTTCACGAGGTGTCTCCACAAATATCAATGAATCAGCAGTCAATGTTATACACAACCAGATCTTCCAAACAGCTACTAGTCAGTGGGTTTACTCCTGTCACTGGAACTTTGGGGGTTTACTTTACTTGTTGAATTAAGCAATGTGAAAGGCAACTGCATCTCTAGACAATGGGAAGCTGAACGTATTGCATTTCCCTACAATAAGGTTTCTACAAGTAGTCAGGTGTGCTTCCTCCTCCCAGCCTCCTCCACAGAGTGTGATTCGGAGATGGGGAACCTGTGGTCCCCTGGATGTGGTTGGATTCAAGCTCCCATCAGGCCCAGCCAGGAATGATGGGAGCTGTATTCTAGCAACAAATGAAGGTCTACGGATTGCCTACTTCTGGTGTATACATAGCTGTACTAATTCACACTGTGAGGCACAAGGATGTCTTCAAGCAACTTTGGTTGTTCTATTGACCAGAGAGTAACCTGTATCATATCTAGTGACTATTTCTCACCTCCACAAACACACTGCCAGGTATTTTCCACTTGAGGTGATCGGAGACAAACCCTTTCTGTGGTGGCCCCATTCACTATCTTTTTTGTGCCAGATCTGTTGGTTTCTATGGGTAAAGCCCGTTTCCTCTTTTTGATATCCTCCCGCTCCGTTTATCACTTTCATTGTCTTTGTTCTTAATGATTTCTAATATAAACTAATCTAGGAATCCTTAGATTACACAGTACAGTAGCAGATGTTTGAAGTACATAAATAATACTCCTCTCAGTTGTGGCTTTTGGCTGGAATCTGCCACACAGATAATGTTCCCCCTAAAACAAAAATACCTCTCAACCAGATGCAACAAGAGTTCTTGTTGGTCAATATCACCCCCTAAACCTGTAGGTTATTATTACTCTTATTGTATTGTGTTTCAATAAATAGATAGATAGATAGATGATAGATAGATAGATAGATAGATAGATAGATAGATAGATGATAGATAGATGATAGATAGATGATAGAACAAGAGTTCTGGCACTATACAGATGGAAATGGTATTTTTAAAGATACAGTTTGGTGTAAATCATTGAACACAGAAAGAAGATGGAGGATTGGGGGGGTATAGCTAGGTATTTCTTTTGTACTCTTCCTATTTGAAGACAACAGATATAATATAACCCAGGGGCATGTTCATGTCCAAAAATCTAAGCCCAGCTGCAATTCCCTTTTGGAAGAATAATGGTCTGGAGTATTTGGGAAGGAGGCGGCAACAGCAGACTATTTCACTCCTCTCTGTTCCTTGAGATATCTTCTGATCCTTTTTTAATGTTTCCAGAAGTAGTGCTGGGTCTAATTAGGCAATTTTCCTTCCATCTCCTTTTGTTGTTTTTACCCCCTACTGCAATCCATTGTTCACAGCCCATTACAAATTCCTTTGGATTCTTTACAAGCCATGAACAAGCCCACAATATAGGATAAGTTAACTGACTTGGAAAACATTTTTTTTTTTAAGTCTACCCTACCCAACTTATGGAAACAGAAGGCAAAGTTTATCCTCTTAAATCTATCCTGAACGTGTCCTCTTCATGATCTGAGGTGGTTGTTTTTTAAATCCAGATGCTGTGTTAAAAAGCAGTTCAATTATTATTATTGTTTTAATTACTATAATTCTAAGTGCACACACTGAAAATACATTTAGAGGTGGATTCTAAGCAAAAAGTTTATCATCCAGGTGTTCCAACATTCTAAAATTTAAAAAGGATATTATTAGACTTGAGCATGCAAAATACTTAAATAAAAAAGATATAGCCTATATCACATGGGTGCTTTGTTTATCCAGCGAGGGCTTAAAATCAATCCTTTAATTTTTATTTTAATCCCATCTACCCTTTACTTTCAACAGTAATCCTTTACCCACAGTAAAAAAACAAAAACCAAAAACCAAAAAACTCCAGTAGGAGTATTCATATGGTGAAACACTGCTATTTTCACCTGAAATGTAAGGCAAACCTACATATCAACTCAGTTTAAAAAATGAAAACTAAATCCAAATGTATTAACACGCCACAAAATGGACTACAGTGGTACCTCGGGTTACATACGTTTCAGGTTACAGACTCCGCTAACCCAGAAATAGTGCTTCAGGTTAAGAACTTTGCTTCAGGATGAGAACAGAAATTGTGCTCCGGCGGTGCGGCAGCAGCGGGAGGCCCCAATAGCTAAAGTGGTGCTTCAGGTTATGAACAGTTTCAGGTTAAGTACGGCCCTCCGGAACAAATTAAGTACTTAACCCAAGGTACCACTGTATAAGTATCTCACGATTATAGAAACAACCTTAAGAAAAATTAAGGCAGGAGGAAACTCACAAACACAAGCAAATGAACAAACAAACAAATCTGAATAGGAATAAGGAATTGAACATTTATTACAGATAGGTTTCTTGCCCTCCTCCTCCTCCCTGCTGAAGGGGGGGAAGTCTATGGTGAGAACTAAAGAAGCCCAGATGTCACAAGACTGCAAACAGATTAACACAACACCTCTGGACTTGTGCAGTTTCCTTGCATCACTTCACAGCTGCACAAAACACAAACCAACCTACCCAGCATTAATGGGAGAATTTAAGTACAGTATTAGGAAAGTCTTACTCAGAGACACATAGAAATCGGTGTTATCTCTATTCATTTTATGATTTAATGCCAATTGCCATTCCCTCTGCCCCTTTATTTATTTATTTATTTAATAAAATTTTATACGCTGCTTGATTGGGGGGTCGGGGAAGGAAAAAAACCACACGATTTGCAAAAAAAATGGATTAGAAACCCAACTAATCCATAATGATTTCAGAAACCATAATGTTAGTGGGCGAATAAT